GCAAGCTGGAGGCCAGCCTGGGCTAAGTGAGACCATGACTGAAAAACTGAAACCCAAACCAACTAAACAAACAGAAGTATTAGTTGCAGGGGGCAGGTGTTTTATGGGGGGCTATCTTGTTGAATTCCCCCCACCCTCACCCAATGGTGACACTGAAGGCAGTGACCCTGCTGGACCTGAGTGGCCCAAAAGGCTTTCCAAGGATGAGCTGCCCGTGAGGGAGAAGCTGAGAAGATGGAGTGAGTCTGGGGAGCTTGGCCAAGGAGGAGCGGCGCTGGTAGGTGGGACCGGCAGTGAGCCTAGCTCCTTCCTGTCGGCATCGGAGAACCCAGAGGGTTAGGGAGGTGGCCGTGAGACCAGGGTGCTTTGAGACACTCTTAGTCACTATGAGGGGGACCACCCAGCCCCTTACCTGTCCCACATGGGTGGCACAGTCATTCTCAGAGAAGAGTTGTTTTATTTGATTTGATTTTTTAAAGACAGGCCTCCCTGTAGCCTCAGCTGGCCTGGAACTTTATATGTGGACCAGGCTGAACCTTGATCTCACAGAGACTCTCCTGAGTGCTGGGATTAAAGGTGTGTGCCACCAAGCCCTCTATTATTATTATTTTGGTTGCTTGTTTTTTTTTTTTAAGTTTTTAAGTATTTTATTATTTTATTTATTATTTTTATTTTATGTGTATGAGTGTATTGCCTGCGTGTATGTGAGTGCACCCGTGTCAGGCAATGCCCGTGGAGGTCAGAAGAGGGCGTCGGATTCCTGGAGTTACAGACAATTGTTAGCTGCCAAGTAGATGCTGGAATCTGTACCCAGGTCCTCTGCAAGAGCAGCCAGGGCTCTTAACCACTGAGCCACCTCTCCAGCCCATGTTTTGTTTTTTTAAAGTGCCAATTTTTGGTGACTGATGCCCACAGGAAGCTGGCACATACTCCCTCACACTGGCTGTCACTTGTTTCAGGGTTTTCTCTGTTTGGGGACAGGGTCTCCTGTAGCCCAGACAGTATCACCTTGAACTCCTGATCCTTCTGCCTCAGCCCAAGTTCAGGGATTCCAGACATGCACCACCTGCATTTCACTTCTGTTCCATAGAAAACCTGGCCTCACGGAACAGCCCAGACTGACCCAGCATTCAAGGCCATCTTCTTGCCTCAGCCCCCCAGTTTCAGGGCTGTGGTTAGGGCCCTTCCAGCTCCGGGGCCTTTGCACTTGCTGGCCATTTTCCTTGCACCGGGTCTCCTTGTCCCTGGGTATCAGCTGGGATGACCTGGGGTTATCCTCGTCTCCAGGGATCTGAGTCTCCACTTTGCCAACTCTCAGCAGCATCTGTACTGTTTTCTCACTGCCAGCACCTGACAGCTCTGAGGAAGGGGTCAACTGGCCATCTAGGGTCATGTGGCCACAGATGGTGTCTTGTTCCAGCCCTGGGGCCCCCACTGCTCAGAGTCCCCCAAAGATCTCAACTGATCATCTCTCTGGCTTACAGTGGCCCTGAAGGTCAAGGGGACAAATGAGCTCACTTGGAGGAGAGGCAAATTCCACCTGGGTTCCTAATCTGGTCTGTTGGGTCTTGGCCGTAACCATCACGACCAGTGCTGTGTGGCCTCAGGAGATGGTTTCATATTTCTGAGCTGTGCCTGAATTGGCAAAGCAAGGGTTATGCAGCAGAGCATGCTCTAGGACCATGTTGAAGCCGAGGGAGGGACCTGTGCATCGAGGCTCAGGGAAGGGATCAGGGCATGCCTAGGGTCGTGCGTCCAGGCCCTGGCCAGGGACTTTCTACCAAACACCCATCCTTTCCCTCCCAGACCCTAGCTTTCCAGGATAATGGGGAAGCTGGCCTCTGAAGACAACCCTCACCTTCCTGTGGCCAGCTGGGGACTGGGACCTTGGCTCTGGGTCCAGAGCCCCTTCCCCATCCTACAGGGCCCTAGGCAGGCTGGGTGTGGTTGGTGGCAGAGAACAGTTAGTAGCTGACCAGCAGGTTTGGGCTGTCCCGTGCAAGGCTGAGAGTGTGTTTTGGGTTTGGTGGCCAGGAGGGCTGCCTGGGCCCCTTGACCATGGAGCTTGGTGAGGGGCCAAAGTCCATCCAAGGGGCCCATAAGAAAACCTTGCTGTGTGTGCCCCATGTTGGCGTGGCCAGCACTCCACACAAGGCCACTCAAGGGAAGCTGGGAGGCATCAGTCCAGAGCACTACCACGGCCTTGTGTGCCCTGTCCCCACTCCTTAGGAAGAGCAGAGAGCCCTGCTAGGGCTGAGTTCTCATGCCTGCCACACATTGGGACCAGGGTGGGGACGACACCTCAGGACCAGGACTGGGCTCAGTATGGCAAAGGTCCCACCAGCCCTGGCCCATCAGACCCCTCAAGCGGGAGCTCTGAGGAAGGCACTGGCTTGACCAACACTCCTAAAAATTTTGTTTAATGCATGTATACGAGTGTCTTGCCTGCATGTATATAAGTACACCATGTTTGTGCAATGCCCACAGAGGCCAGAAGAGGGCATTGGAACTGGAGTTACAGATGATCGTTAGCTGCCATGTGGGCGCTGGGAACCAAACCTGAGGTCTCTACCTAAGCAGCCAGTGCACTTAACCACTGAGCTGTCTCTCAAGCCACCAGCTAACACCCTTTAAATAGCCCTATCCCCAGACAAAATTGGGAGACACCCTGTCCTGCCCTGGCCAGAAAGAGACTTTGGTGACAAGAGCCTCAGTCTCACAGAAGCTTCTGAGCCCGATGAGGGACACTATGGGTCAGGTGTAGGCAGGACCTGAAGCCCCCGACCTCCAGCAAATGGACTTGGCTGAACCACTGTGAATCATAAGTCTGTGAATGAGATCGGGGGAGTGGGCACCAATCATACTGGGCACCAATCGCCAAGTGTGCCTTCCCTGAGTTCTGGATGTTTGAGGAAACCTCCAGGGAAGGGAGAACTGGGGACCTGGGGGCACACAGGTGGGCCACCCACACTGCCCACGCTAAGGAGGGTCAGACAGGACCTCTGGGTTCCTTTTTTCTTTTTTTCTTGGTGACAGAAACCCCCAGTTTTGTCTGGAACTTGGTTGCCCAGAACAAAGATTACGTTTCCCAGCCTCCCTTGCATCTTAGATTGACATGGAACTAGAGTCCAGCTGACAGAAAATAACAGGTACAGGTTTGCTGGATAGAGTGTGGTCACAATGGTGGGAGCCTAGGTAACCATTTTGTAGCACAGTGCTGCTTAACAAATATAGAGGTAAAGGTGGTGTGGAGTGGTCTCACCCCTGGGCCTCTCACACCCACCCTGCAGTCATTGAAGTGCCTCAATCTACCCACCTGTGAATGGGAATCATAGTGGCCAAACTTTGAGAGGACCCAGAAAATAATGGGTAGGAAGCAATTAGCTCACAGGAAAGGGTGTCCACTGAGTATCAACATGGGTGTGCCCTTTAAATTAGGGGTTCCTAAACCCAGAAGGTTTAGAACCATTGCAAGTCCTCCCAGGACCCTTGCTGGGGTGCATAGCCCTGCTAAGGGACTGTATTTGAGAAAATATTTTAGTGTATGAGTATTTTGCTTGCATGTATGTAAGTGTACCTGTGCTTATGCAATGCCCTGGAAGTCAGGAGAGGGTGTCGGATCCCCTGGAATTGGAGTTACAGACAGCACTTAGCCACCATGTAAGTTCTGGGAACCCAGGTCCTCTGCAAGAGCAGCCAGTGCTCTTAGCAGCTGGGCCATCTCTCCTGCATCAATAGCCCCCATTCTTCAGAGATTTGCACCTTTGGGTAAGTGGCGTGCCTTCTCTGAGTCTCAGTGCTACTGGGACAGGGTGTGCAACATGTTTGTGGCTTGACTTTCCTGTCCCCTGCTGCTTTCCCACCACTCAGATCAAGGAGACCCCACCACCACCTCCCAGCCTATGGTAATGGTGGTCCCCTACCTGGAAAGATACACAGCTTCCCGGTGTGTGTGTGAGTTGCGGGGGGGGGCAGTTCATTCTCATGATCAGCTTGACTGGATCTAGAGTCTCCTGGGACTTTCCCACCACTCAGACCAAGGAGACCCCACCACCACCGCCCAGCCTATGGTAATGGTGGTCCCCAACCTGGAAAGATACGCAGCTTCCCGGTGTGTGTGTGAGTTGCGGGGGGCAGTTCATTCTCATGATCAGCTTGACTGGATCTAGAGTCTCCTGGGAGACATATCTCTGGGTGCGTCTGTTAGGGCAATTTCAGAGAGGTCTAACTGAGGAGGAAAGACCCTCCCTGAATGTGAGGGGCGTATTACCCCAACCCTGCAATACTCTTCCTGCTGAGTCCCAGCACCCAACTGGAGCTCCTCCTGAGATGTCAGTGAACAGCCTAAGCTCAGGTCACCACAGCCTCAGACTCCCCCACATGACTCACCACCATGATGAATTGTGTCTCTTCAGGTCGTGAGTCAAAGTTAAGCCTGTACCCCCTAGCTGCTTCTTGTCAAGCATTTGGGAACATTTGGGAGCTTCTAGAATGGAGAAAACCTCTTCTCTCACTCCACATACATACACAGACACTCAGGATTACACAACACACACACACACACACACACACACACACACACACACACACACTCATGCCTGGAGCTGGAAGTCCAAGGAAATATGTACATCCCTTACACATGCACACATCCTTTGATGAACACACAAAGACACCTACAATACTGTGGACACAAGGGCTGACAGATCCACAGACACTGACACACAGACACACATAGACACATGGACCTACACTCCCACATCTTCACCACACAAGCATCCTTTGATCTGGAACTCCACTATCTCCCCACTCCCGGGCCTAAGCAGCACCTCAGTCTGTTCCCAGACACAGCCATCATCCTGCAGCAGCTGTCCCTGCAGACCACCCCAGTGAGCACCCAGAGCTCCTCAGCCTGCACCCAGCTTATTCAATGACCAGACAGGATGGAATGTTTAATGCCTGGATCGTGGCCGCGCATGGTGGTCCATGCCTCAGTCCTCGGGGTCCGACCCCCACCATCGCTGGGCTGCACCTCAGGTCACCCAGCTCTGAGCACTCCCTCCCAGATGCCACCCGGCAATATCTTGAGCTTCCCGGTGTTCCATGGTCCTGACTGAGCCCTGAGCATCTGCCACGTGAACTTCAAAGGCCACAAAGGCCACGTGGATTCCACAGGCCTGAAACTGCAGCCAGTCCAGAGACCAGGATGGGGGACTGGAGGAGAGTGGGGTCTGGATGCTGCTGGCCACTCAAGCCCGTCCACCTGTCACCAGCTGGGTACCCAGAGTGGCAGGAGCGGACGCGGGCGCCACCGTGCGGTGGCCTTCCGGGCTCTGTTTCTTGCGTCGCCGCTGGGGCTGGGCGCTGTCACGTGGGGCGCGTGGCTGGCTGCTCTGCAGCAGCCGCACCATCTCGTGGTCCTTGTGGCCCAGCACTCGTGGCAGGAAGAGCGAGGACTTCTGTGTGCGCCGGGTCTTGAAGCCTCGGCGTGGCCGACCCTTGCCGTTGACAGACACGTACCAAGGTCTCTGGGCACCGGGTTGCCACTGCATCCCTGGTCCGCTGGGCCCCGTGCGGTACAGACGGGAGGCGTATGTGTTGTAACCCAGCTCGTGGATGCGCTCCAGGAACTCACACTCTGCGTTGTAGTGCTCCTGTGGGCAGAGACCACGGTGAGTGGCCACAAGCGAGAAGGACGGCAACAGGGCCTGGGGGCCAGTCCACACCTGCCTGATGCTTTATTCCCTCCTCAGGTGGCCTGGAGCCAATGATACCCACATCTGCTGATGTCTAAGACCCTGGCCAGTCTCCCTTTCTCAAGACTGTGTCCCTGTTCTGAGTGTCTCCACCATATAAGCCACCTATAAGGAAAGAGAACTGAACTCTTTTTAGCCTCATGCGATAGACAGTGGGTGATGAATGAGTGGGTAGATGGCTGGTGAGGTGATGGGTGGACGAGTGGGTATGTGGATAGATCCATGCTGGGTGGATGTATGGATGGACGAGCAGATGGATGAGTGGATGGATGGATGGTAGATAGATGGATGGATGGGTAGATAGATCCATGGACATTGGATGGATGGATTGGTGATAGAGTGGATGGAGAGATGCAGATGGATGGATGAGTAGCTAGCTGGATGAATGAATGCATGAATGGATGGATGGATGGATGGGTAGATAGGTGGATATGGATGGGTAAGTAGACAGATCCATGGATGCTGGATGGGGATGGATGATGGAGTGGGTGGGTAGACAAGTGGATGAATGGGTAGATAGGTGGTTGGATAGATAAATGGGTGGGTGGATGGGTAGATGGATGGATGGATGGATGGGTGGGTGGGTGGATGGATGGGTAGATAGGTAGGTGGATTGGTGGATGAGTGGATGGATGGATAGTAGATAAGTGGATGAATGGGTAGACAGGTGGATGGATGGATAGATGGCTGGGTGGATAGATGGATAGATGGGTGGGTGGGTGGGTGGATGGATGGGTGGATAGATGGATGGATGAATGGCAGATAGGATGGGTAGATGAATAGATGGGTGGATGGATGGGTAGATGGATGGATGGGCAGATGGATGGATGGGTGGTGGGTGGATGGATGGTAGATAGGTAGGTTGACAGATGGCTGGATGGCTGGATGAATGGATGGTTGGGAGATAGGTGGATGGATAGGTAGGTAAATGGATCCATGGACACTGGATGGATGGATGGATGGATGATAAGGTAGATGAATGAATGGGTGGATGGATGGGTAGATAGGTGGATAGATAGATGAATGGGTAGATAGATGAATGGGTAGGTAGGTAGATGGATAGATGGATGGGTAGATAGGTAGATAGGTAGATGAATGGGTAGATAGATAGATGAATGGGTAGGTAGGTAGATGTATAGATGGATGGGTAGATAGGTGGATGGATGGGTAGACAAATGGATGAATGAATGGATGGGTAGATAAATGGATGGGTATATTTATGAATGATGGGTTGGATAGATAGATGGATGGGTGGATGGGTGGATGGCTGGGTAGATAGGTGGAGGGATCCATGGACATTAGATAGATGGATGGGTGATGGAATGGATGGATATATGGGTAGGTAGATATGTAGATAGGTGGATGAATGATGGATGGGTGAATGTACATTTAGGTAGGTGGATGAATGAATGATGGATGGATGAATCAATAGATGTTGGATAAATGAATAGAATGAGTGGATGGATAGATGGATGGGTAGACAGCTAGGTGGACCCATGGGTGTTGGATGTATGGATAGACGGATGGGTGGGTAAGTAGATAAGTGGATGTATGAGTGGGTGTGTGGCTAGGTGAATGGATGCATGGTTGGGTGGATAGGTGAATGGGCTAGAGGAGAGAGAAACTTCAGGTCACTTACCCCATCCCAATACTGTTGCAATGACCCAAGAGGGAAAGGAAAGGTGGGATTGGAGAGACAAGTAAACAGGTATAATTTGAGGACGTAGAGATAGACAGGATGTGGGGTTCCACCCTGGTTCCTGGCCAACCCTGAGCAGGAGTGAGTGTCCCTGGGGCAATGATGGAGGCATGAACAAAAGGTGTTCTAAGTCATTGTGGGTTATGCTGCTCTCTGCCTGGGTCTTGTAGCAGCAGGACTTCTGGGCAGGCTATTGTCATCTATAACTCAGGTGGGACATGGGGACTGACTCTGGGTTGGCTCTGGCCCATGGGAGCATCAGGAAGACAGCCACACCAGGGCAATCACAAGCTTGGGGCAGGCCTGCGTGAAGCTCTTAGAGTCTAACTGATTGAAAGGAGTGGGCAGCCGGTGCCCAAGCTACCTCACCCCTGAGGCTGTTTGCCAGACGGTAAGATGTCTGCAGGCTTCTCTGTGAAGTTCCACTGCAGCTGGCTGGATGCCTGGTCACCGCTGGCCTCATTCCCTGCTCCCCAAAGCCAGGTGACCACACACAGGTTCTGATGGGGTCTTTCACATTTCCTCTGTGGTCAGGAAGATGTGAACTGTCGCTGAGGACTCCTGAGGTCTCAGTCCAGAGCAGAGTGATTGGGGGGAGGGGTTCAGGTTCAGAATACAGTCCTCTGTGTTCACCCACATTGGAGGTGGTGCAGGGTCCAAGAAGCTGAGGAAGCATCAACCCAGTTCTGAGGGAGCCCCAACCCAGCCCTGGGTAAAGGGTGAGTTTCCATTACCACCTCATGAGTGTGGGAGTGCCACGAGCTCCATACCAGGCAGCCCAGTGCCACCTGTGTGGAGACCAGAGACAGAATGTCCTTTTCAAATGCTCTTCACCCCATTTGGTGAGACAGGCTGTCACATTGAATCTGGTGTTCACTTGCCACTCAGCTAGCCTGGCTGGCCAGCAAGCCCCAGGGATCCTGGCTCAGCCTCCTCAGCACCAGGATCACAGGGACGACACCTTGATCAGTTTTTTTTTTTTTTTTTTTTTAAATGCGGATGCTGAGGATCCAACTCAGGTCCTCATGCTTACACAGTGAGCACTTTAGACTGAGCCACCTCCCCAGCTCTTCAGACAGCCCTTGCCTCCCATCCCAGGGAGAACGAGTCAAGGGTCCATCTTTCCCCTTCCTCATCTGAGCTGCCTCTCTGGCTTGGCTCTGTTTGTTCATTTTTCTGTGGCTCTGGGACCCCTGCTCTCCTCTTATAACCTCCATAATTTTCAGAGAAAAACAGACTGACTTCTAACAAATGGTAGGGAACATTTTTGTGAGTACCCGACACCTGTGGAATTTTGGCCCCATTCCGAGTGACTCCTTTGGAAGCAGTCAAAAGTACCGGGCAGGGACTTAGAGCCCAAGGTCCTGGCTCAGCTTGAGTCTGGCATGACCCTGTGGCCAGGCATCTACCCATGTACCCTCTGTCCCGGACCCGCTCAGGCCACATGCTACTTCATCAGCACCTGCCCACTCAAGGTGGTACTCACCGAAGCGTACAGTCGTCCCCTCTTGTTCATGGCCAGGTACCTGCCAGAGAAGAGACCCTTAATGGCCACTACGCCCACTTCCACCGCGGTGATCTCCAGGATACCTGAGAAGAGTGGAAAGGTTCATCAACTGTCCGATCTTCAAATCCTAGGCTGAACCACACCAGCTGGAACAAGCCTCGCCCAAGCCTTGCCCAGGCTTTGCGGGACTGGAGGGCAGCCACGCCCAGCAGATGGAGGTGGAGGCTGGGAGGGACAAAGCACTGGGCAGTGAAGACATGAAGGGAACCGATGGATACTGATCCCAAGAAATAATTTGAACCTGGGAAGCTGACGCAAAGAACGTGTGGACACCCTGAGTCCAACCAGAGAGGATCAGGTTGGCACATCCCTGTTGTGCACTGGTTTTGTCCAGCAAGTTAAGACCAGACAAGAGACCTGTCCAGGGCCACACATAAACTTCCTAAACCCAAGCCCTAAAGCAGATGAAGCCCAGAGCCTCTGGAGCACTGTGGGGTGGGGGTGGGGCTCCCTTGGAGCTGTCAGTTTTCTCAGGGTGAGGATCTAAGTGGGAGAAGGGGACCCCAGGCAGCTGGGTGCAGAGCAAAGTTGGCTGGAGCAACTCATGCCCCAGGTACAAAAGTTAAACTTCCCATGGCACGGGTGGCTCAGTGCGGTGAATAAGCCTGCCCAAGCCTCACTGCCTGAACTCCATCTCCCTGACCCACAGGGTGGAAGGAGAAAACTCCTGAAAGTTGTCCTCTGACCTCCACACATTCACACCGTGTCATGCAAAACAAATCAATCTCATAATACATGCGCACGCGCACACACACACACACACACACACGCACGCACACAAATTCCCCCAGTGCCTTTCCTGGTGAGCAATATACATTGTCTCCCAACAGTGGCTTCGGGATATCTGGGTGGCGCACCCGCAGTTTTTCTAGGAGGCAGGTCTCAGGAGCAAGCCAGGGACCCACCATGGTCCGGGTAACAGGGATCAATTGAGATTTTTGCCTTAGTTCCCCCTCTCCCCGGTGGACGGGTGAGAGCCGCCGGTTTTGAGTTGGGGGTCACTACTGTCTGGGCAAGGTTCCCCACCCGGCTGCCAAGGACCCCCTCCTCTGCATCAGGAAGCTGGGGAGGGGTGAATTTGGAGAGATGTGAGGAGCCCCTGGCCTGGGTTCCCAGGCGACAGCTGATCCCCACCGTGCGCTCCGGAGGCGTCCCTTAAGACGCCCCCGCGGGACTGCGGCTTGGCTGGAGGAAGCTGCGGTTCCCGCCCCTGACACCGCACTGTTCCTGCGCCCGGGGCACGGCCTCCTCCCACGCGGGGCCTCCCGCTGCCCTCCAGCCTCGCGTGTCCCAGCTGCTCCCTCTCCATCGGACAGTCTTCATCGCACACCCAGGGGACTCCGGTCCCTGTCCGCTGCGACCACCGGGCCGCGGGGAATGCCCGTCTGTCCTGTCCCGCCCTAGGTCCGCGGACCTGACACGGGACAGGCCGGTCGCCGGCGGCCGCATCGAGGGAACCGAGCCCGGCCCAAGGGCGTGTCCTTGGCGCAGAGTCCGGCCACCTGGGCGGCCGAGGGCAAGGAGGGTTGAGGGCATTGGGGTCGGCAGGAGGCGGACTCCACGCCAAGGCAGTAAAGAATGTGACAAATCCTTGTCCAGAGCCTTGTCTCTGACTAACCCAAATTGTCAGAACCTCCAAACGCACCCAAGGACGCCTCCCGGGGGTCGGTAGCTCGGACCGCGGCATCCTCCGCGCATCTCCTCTCGCCTCCCACCCCAGCGCTCTCTTTTCCCCGACGCGGCGACAGGAGAGCCGGGCACATCTGGCTCGCGGTCCCCTTCACCCCACGGTGGCCACTCACTGTAGGCGCTGTTCTCCAGGCTGCCGTTTACGCGGCCGCTCGGGTGCAGCTGGAGGTGGTACTTGGTAGCGCAGTAGAGCTTGCGGCGCCGTGGCGCCCCGCCGAGGTGCTCGTAGACCCCGCCGCGACCGCCGGCATCGCGCCGCAGACGCGCCCCGGGACCAGTCGTCGGTCGACCGGGCTCCAGAAGCCCGAGCAGCAGCGGCCAGAGCAGCGGCGGCCAGAGCAGGTTCATCGCCGCATCGCGCCCTCCGGGCGGCGGAGGCTGCAACCCAGCGCCGGGCGCATGGAGGGCGCGGAGCTGGGAGCGCACGGAGGAGTGCCAGGCGGTGCAGACCGCCGCTACTGGGCGGGGGAAGGGGGAGGAAGCGGAGGGGGACAGGGGAGGGGAGAGAGAAGGAGAGAGAGAGAGAGAGAGGGGGAGAGAGAGAGAGAGAGAGAGAGAGAGAGAGAGAGAGAGGCGATGGATGGAGAGAAGAGACAGAGAGAGATAGGGAGACACGGGCCGAGCCCTTCAATTTTGACCCAGAAGGTGAATTTTCCGTGACTGCGCACAGAGCTGAAGAAAGGCCCATGAACAACAAAAGGCGACCGTGGTCCCGGAGGGAGGGGCGCGGGGGCTCAGGCCCGGTTTCGCCTGCGCACACCGTCGGGGCCCCCAGCGCCCTCCCGCCTCCGCGGGGTCCCCAAGCCGCCCCGCCCTCGCTCCCGCCCCCAGACCAATTATGCCTCGGAAAATTATAGAGCCAAGCCCGGAGGCGGCCGCCCCCAGGCCCTGTCACCCCGCTCCCGCCTCACATCAATCCTCGGTGCACAATGGGACCGCGGATGACTGATGTCCGTGAAAACAACTTGCGGGGAAGTCGCGCTGACAAACCCTCCGGAAAGGCAGTGTCTAACCAGGAGAGATTGCACAGCAGGACCATCCGTGGGGGACCTCAGGGTTGAGTCTGCACAGGGTGCTTAATGCAGGAGCCCTGGCGCTGTCCTCAGCAGACCAATCCTGTAGCCAACCGGGCCCAGATGCTTTATTGCTGTCCAACTGAGCTAACCAGAAAGAACCAAGGGAGGTGTGCACACCAGCACACAGGAGCCCTGGGCAGCCTTGCAAGGGAGGGGACTGGGCAGGTGGGAGCAAGCGACAGAGAGCCATGGGGGGCAGAGAGAGAGCAAGAGAGAGCCAGAGAGCCAGAGACAGAGACAGAAACAGGAGAGGAAGCAGTTGATAAATCTTGGAGGAGGGAGAGGAGAGAAGAAGGCAGAGATGGAAATGTGGCATTGCTGAGTCAGGGGCAGGAAGGCGATGATGCCAAGGCCTCCTGGGAATCTCCACCTGGTGGGCTGGGGGAGGGCAGTGTAGGTTCAGGAATGCCTCCCCCACTTGCCTTAAGCACATCGTGGATCTCCAAGTTCCCTGTCTGACAGGTACCTCAGGGACAGAGGGCTTCCCGGCGGTGTGAGGAGAGGTCTCACCCCACACTCCTTGGCCCCTCTGCCCCCAGTGGCCCACCGGGCCAACCCAGTATAGAAATGCTGGGATAGGATTGCCTGAGGGTCTGGTGGTCGAGGCCACAGCTTTGGTTCCCAAGTTGGCCTTGGGCTCTGGGTAAGTAGGGTGGGTGGCAGTCCCAGCCCTCACCTGTGGCCAGGACTATGTAGGATCCTGAGGGGGGTGGGGCATGAGGCCCAGAAGCTGTTAATAGTGCACATTAGGACATTTCCAACCCTATGACTTCAGACAGGGCAGCAGGTCCCCACTGAGCCCTCTCTAGCACACTGAGTGCCCATGTGACACCACAGTTGAGCACCCCCAGCAGTCCCCCAGGGCCTCTGTTCTGGCCAGGTCTGCAGTGTCCACTCCAGGTCTGACTTGTGAGAATCCTTGAGTAGCCTAAGGGTCAGGCATTGAGCACCCCTAGCAGTCCCCCAGGGCCTCTGTTCTGGCCAGGTCTGCAGGTCCACTCCAGGTCTGACTTGTGAGAATCCTTGAGTAGCCTAAGGGTCAGGCCATGGCTTACCAGAGCCTTGGAGCCAATGATAGAGCCTGCTTTAGGGGGACAGGGACAGCTCGAGGGACAGCCCAAGAGGGCATGTTACCCCATGGGTTCACTGTTCAGACCTGGGTTAGCCATTGAAGTTACCAAGAGGGCACATAGGGATGCAAGAGATGACCCTTCCCTAAATGCCTGGGCATAGCTTCTGGGAGTACTAGGAGCTAGCTACCTCCCCATGCCTGGCCAAGAGGTGACAAGAGTCATGGTACCATGGGTTTGGTGTCCCAACACTCCAGAGCTGGAAGCAGGAGGATCCAGAGGTCCAGAGTTCAAGTCCAGCCTCGACTACAGAGGACTTCAAAAAAGCTAAACAAAAATAAAAACAAAACAAAAGGAAAAAGGAGAAAAGAGATGGAAGGTGGGCTGTGCATTGCGGGCCACGCCTTTAGTCCCAGGACACAGGAGGCAGAGGCAAGCAGATCTCTGTGACGTCGAGGCCAGCCTGGTCTACATAGCAAGTCCCCATCTGGGGCTATGACCCTGCCTCAAGGGGAAGAAAAAAGTCAGAAACAGAACAGGGGGTAGAGATAGATGGAGATAGAGAGATGGAGAGGGTAGAGAGAGGAAACAGAATAAAGTTCAAAGAGAAAATGAAAGAGGACCTGTAGATGAGGCCCCAGTACCCTCCCTTGAAGGTATTCCTGGAAGGCTGGGAGAAACCAGGGAAATCCCACTGGACAGCCTGGGCTTAGAGCCTCCCTCCTGCTCTATGCCAAGCCCCTCACATTTTCCAGGGAGGCCCCTGATCCTCGTCCACCATCTTGTCCACTGCGGTCAGCCTCTGTGTTCTGCCTTCTCAGCTGGGGCTGTGGAACCCAGGGAGGGACAGGCTGCCGCCTTGAGCAGGACTCAGGTGGCTCCCAACCAGAGGCTGCTCTCCGGATGCAGGCCAGGCAGTCCTAAGGTGCCGCTGGGTGTGTTCCTCACTGTGCCTCCTCCTCCTGGGCAGCTCAACGCACTGCAGTGCTCCAGGACATCTTCCTGAAATGAATGAGTGGACCTGGCCTTCTTTGCCTTTGAGATTCTGACTTCACACGTATAAGATATTCTAAAACGGCCAGAGCCTCAGTAGAACAACCTCTTCCAAGAGTCCTGCCACCGTCACCATTCATCGGATCGGCACCCCATCACAGGGACCCCCAGCTAACCATGGTGTTGGTGAGAGCCAATGCCTTTGAAAGTAATGCTGATCCAGAAGGTGGCCAGGTCCGGGCCCTCCCAGTGGTCCTGGCTGACACTGTAGCCTGTTCCTCAGTGATCCCCATGGCAACCAGATTCTCGGGGTCCTCCTCTGGGCCCCACAGAGTGTCCACGGGTCCTTTCACCCACCCTGCACTCCACAGAGGAGCTGCCTGAACCCTGATGCTGCTTCCACCCTGTCCCAGGCCCCACCCAGCCCATCCCTGTGACTGGGCTCTTATTGTGGACGGGCCTGTCCTACTGCCCAAACCCTAGCCCACTTCCCACAGCCCTGTCTTGCCCAATGAGACCTTCGTCCACCTAAGCCCACCTGCCTTCTTGCCCCCGGACACCCCTGGGCCATCCCTCTGGCTTGGACGTGTCCACTGGCAGACTCTCAGATGCTGGGGCCCAGCCGATGAAGTGTGCCCAGTGCCGGGCAGCAGCTGGAGCGCCATTATGGTCTCCCTGGGCTGGGCAGAGGCTCCCACACTGCCAGGGTTCCGCCCTCCCTCCCATATGGAGCAAAGCCCAGTGGAGCCTGTGGGGGGTACATAATGCGGTAATGGGCCCTGTTAATTGCTTCCAAATGGTCGATTGCAGCCGTTTGACTAATTGGCCTCTTCCAGGCTGGACACCCCCAGACCTGGCCCAAGTTGGTTTACCATTCCTTCTATGACCTCTGCTCTGGATCCCCTGGCTCTCTCTTGTTCTTGGGTTCAAGCCCCTACCTCCAGCCCCTTTACTTGGAGGGAAGAGAGAGGATAGCAGTCAGTGTCCTGAGATGTCCCTGACTTTTGGCCCCTAATACTCTCTTCACCCCACCCCTGACCCAGTCTGTTTTCTGGGTGCTGGCCTGGGCCCACTGGACTCTTAGAATTCTAGAAGCAGCCCAGCTTAGCCCACCCTACAGAGGAGAAATGGAAATTCACAGCAGTGACTGGCTCCAGGTCATACAACTGGCTGGAATCACCATGCGAGGTCCCAGGAGGCTGAAAAGGCCCATCTGCACCCCTGTGTGGCCCAGGGTTCCCCCTTGGCTTCCACTGCACCTGGAGAGGGCATCTTTGTAAGGTCCCTCACAAAGGGAGGGGATGGCCCCACTGAGCTGGACCCTCAGAAAGACAGGGGATGGCCCCACTGAGCTGGAGCCCTGCCGTAGGGCCTGTGGCTCTCTGACGTTCCTGACTCCAGATCCCAAATGCTGGGAATCAGTTGTGCATCATCGTAGTATTCTCGGTGTTCCTTAGGGGATGGATTTCCAACCCTGATGGGTGCCACAGCATCCCAGGCTCAAGTCGCCTGTATAAAGTGACATGCAAGAATCTATACACATCCTCCTGGTCCATAAAATCATCTCTGGGGGACTTAAAATGCCCAAGTCATCGTCAGACTGCTACTTAGGGGTTAAGGAAGAAAAAAATAGTCAAAGACACTCAGTTCAGATGCAGGTTTTCTCCTGAAAAATTTAAAAACATTTATTGTCTTGGGGGTGTGTCATAGACACAGGTATGGGGGTGAGAGGACAACTTGTGGGAATCGGCTCTCTCTTTCTCCCATGTGGGTCCTAGGTACCAAACTTCGGGCTCTGTGGCAAGCACCTTTACCCTTCCTGAGGACCCTTTTCTGAGAACTTTTGGTCCCTGGTTGGTTGCAACTGCAGAGCTCTCAGACACCAAATGGACTGATATACTCGGACTCTATGGGCCTTACAGTACCCACGGAGCTGTGTACCCATCACCACGATCAGTCTGAAAACCTTCCCTCATGCTGTAAAGAACCTCATCTTCCTAGAATGTTGTTTCTCTGTCCTTCACACTGTCCCACCCCACTCCACCCTGGGCAGTTGCTAACCCACTTTCTGTCTCTGTTCTGGGCATTTCATAAGACTAGAACCCCTCAATAGCTACCTTTTATGGCTGACTTCTTTCGCCCACCATGACATATTTACTGAAGTTCATCTGTTGCAGTGTGTATCAGAAATCTCATGTTTTTGTGACTGACTGACTGACTGACTGGACCAGTTTGCTCATTGGTTCTCACTGATGGATGCTGCCTAAGGTACAACCCCAAACTGAGTCCTGAATAAGGAATTATTTCTGAATTAAAGGGTTGGGGGCAAGAGAGGGCCTCCCAGTAAAGAGACGGACACAGTAAGCTGCCCTTTCCTCCTTGGAAGACAGAGGCCAACCAGCGGCCTTCTGTCCACTGGTGTCACACACAAAGCCCTGGGGACAGTCTCCTGCTCCTGTGTTGAACTCAGGCACCAGCGGCCTTCTGTCCACTGGTGTTTGGCCTGGGGTCACACACAAAGCCCTGGGGACAGTCTCCTGCTCCTGTGTTGAACTCAGGCAACTCTGCCAACCTCTCTGGGCCTTGGTATTCTCATCTGCGACAATGACACAAGGCATGTCCTGTGTGGGCAGCTGAGGTGAGCCTGTCCCTGCCGCGCACACAGCACAGTGCCCACTGCCCACCCAGGGCACCCTTTACACTGCAGTCCTTGATTGGTCACGGGTCAGTGTGCTCTATGGACCATCTCAAAGGGTGACGGGGATGGCCAAGGAAACGCGGGGAGGGCTGGTGAGCTCACTGGCCTGTGAGCGGCGTGACAGAGCCATGGCCAACAGCTTCATACCAGAGGCCCCTCGTCCCCCATCCTGAAAGCTGAAGCTTCAAGATGGAGGTGCTGGGGCCCGACTGCTCCCAAGACCTCTCTCTTCAGCTCACAGACCGAGTCTTCTCACTTGAATGCCCTCTGGGTCTGTGTCCCAATTTCCCCCTTTCATGAGGCCCCCAGGGGTACTAGGGTGTCATAGCTTTTGGCAACTTGACACAAACTAGTCACTTGATGAGGAATTTCCTCCGTCAGACTGGCCTGTGGGTGTGTCTGAGGGGCATTTTCTTGATTGCTAATTGATGTAGGAGGGTCCAGCTCACTGTGGGTGGTGCCATCCCTGGGCGGGTGGGCCTGGGCTGTATAAGAAAGGTAGCTGAGCAGCCAGGGGAAGTAAGCCAGCGAGCAGCGTCCTCCTCTGCTTCAGTTTCTGCCTCTAGGTTTCTGCCTCGAGCTCCTGACTTCCTGTGAGCTGTGAGCCAGATAAACCCTTTCTTCCCCACTTTACTTCTGGTCAGCGTTTATTACAGCAACAGGAACCAAGCTGAAACCCTGGGTTACCATCACTCTAGTGACCCCTTTTGAATGGAATCTTCAAAGAGATTCATCTTTGTACAAATGTGGGTACATTCTGAGGTCCTGGTGGAAGGGGCAAGAGCTTCAGTATACATACTTGGGGCACAAGTCAGCCTATAACAAGTACCCATGATGACATGTACCCATCTTGCAGGTGAGGAGGTAGAGGGTATGAAGCCTGTCACAGGCCCCAGCTGTCCACTGGGCAGGGCTTGAAGGAAAGCCAGAGTCCCAGATCCACAGCCGTGACCTTCGTCTGTGCCCCCGCCCTGCACCACCAGCTGAGGTCCTGTCACTCCTCCCTGGGTGGTGCCCGTCTTCGACCCACCCCACCACCTGCAAAGTCTTCTTGATTCCCAGACCTTGGCAGTCTAGAAAACATGAAGGCTGCCCACTTCTGCTGAGGGCTGCTCTGTGGGAGGTGGAAGAAGATCTCGGGGTCCCCACGTCTGCCAAGGAAAAGGGGTACTATACCAACCTGGCCCTTCCCAGGTGACTCTGGGGTCCTGTGGGCCCTGCCCAACCATGGTGCTCAAACTGCAGGGACATCTTGGTGTCTGGAGGTGGCTCTGTGAGCCACATGACTGACACTTTCTGAGGACTCTGAGCCGTGACCCTGCCCTTCCCCACACTTGACAAATCAAAGCTGAGCCCTTAAGATGTGGTTTCATCCAAGTCTGCTTTGTTTGCCAGAGAGGGAGGGGTCCCAGTCACCTGAGCCCGGCAGGGAGGGCCACCCTGGAGCCCCCACTCAGCAAGGGCTTAGATGGAGTTCGGGTGAGGCCAGGAAGGGGGGGGCATTAAGGGGGGGTGTCTAAAAGGCCAGGGTGGGAGGGAGCAGGGCCAGAAAGGGTCAGAATTTAAGGGAGGGTGGAGTAGGGCCAGGGAGGGGTGGACACACTTTAATGAGAAGTGTCTCACCTCCTAGCTGGCCTCCCTCTGTCTGAGCTGCGGGCTGCCCCTCTGTCCACCATGGCTGGTCCCTGGTCTTCACTGGCCCACAGTGGTCTCTGCAGTGGCTCAGTCATAGGTATGTGGGAGGTCTCCCCATCTTCTCTGGGCCTGGGCTGTGCCCCTCATCTGAAGGTGTAGTTCCTGCCCATGGCCTGTTTAACTGCTGCCCTCTGGTCAGTCTCTACTCTGGGCTGACCACTGTGAACACCACGTTTTGGGAGCCCTGCCTCTGTGGTCATGGGGTCAGCCTGGCTGTCCACCTTCTGAAGCACCGCCTTGGTTGTCTCCTTGGGTTTCTAGCTCTCAGGTTGCCACGAAAGCCCCTCAGAGGGGTCCCCAACCCATTCCCCTGTGCTGTGCTCCCAGCTGTGGCAGGGTCCCTCCTCCAGCCCTCACTGCCTCCTGTGTCTTTTGGTCTTGGCCACCCACATGGCTGAGGGGCAGCTATGTGTCCAGTCCGGGTACACGCGGGCTATGAGCTCCACCTGAGTCCGGGAGTGGCTGGCCTTCCTCTGCTTGCCAGGCTCCTAGACTCAGGGCCCAGTCTAGAGCCAGTTCCCTGAACGAAAAATGAATGAACGAACACACAAAGTCCCCACAGCGTCCCTTGATGGCAACATTGGCCACCAGAGGCAGTTAAGACAGAGGTAAAGTCACTCTAGGGTGCCTGGAGGCTGGCAGGTAGGGTAGGGAGGGGGGAAGAATGGCACATGGCCCATGTTAAACTCAGAAGGAAGGGATGTCCTAACACATGTTAAAGCTGGTGTGGTGGTGCAGCCCTGTAGTCCTGACCTTCCAGAGCAGAGGCAGAAGGATTACTGTGAGTTCAGGCCAGCTTGGACTACATAGTGAATTCCAAGGTAGTCTGGGCTATCTCTCCCTAAATCCACCCCCTGTCAAAACACAAAAAAAATCAAAACAGAAAACAAAACAGTAGAGGGAGGTGGCGGTCTTGACAGATGGCAGGAGGTGGCAGATAAAAGATGTCATCATGCCAGAGCCAGTCCTTGGAGCTGGGGCTGGTATTAAGGCGCTGCCCACCAGGAGGAGTCTGCCCAGAGCGCAGCACCAGATGTATCCCTGAAGGCTTGGTAGGTGTGTGGACCTATGTAAGTGCACCTGTGTCATGAAATGCCCACAGAGGTCAGAAGAGGGCATCAGATGCCCTGGAACTGGAGTTTATGGATGGTTGTTAGCTGCCATGTGGGTGCTGGGAATCAAACCCAGGTCCTCTGCGAGAGCAGCCAGTGCTCTTAACCACTGAGTCATCTCTCCAGTCCCATTCCTGGTGTTTTATCCCATAAAGTCTAC